CATGACTACACTAATGCCTAGAATCTATGAGGTTTACCTCTGCTATACATGTACATGACTCCACTAATGCCTAGAATCTATGAGGTTTTCACTTGCTATACATGTACATAACTCTACTAATGCCTAGAATCTATGAGGTTTTTCACATGCTATACATGTACATGACTCCACTAATGAGGTTTTCGGTGAATTTATACAACCATGCAATGATAAATTCTGAACATTGCTAACCTTTAAAGGGTGGTGGTAGTCGTGCTGTGCATTTTCGACATTTGTGTTGATAAACATTGATTTTCACAGAATCCAATGAGCTCTTCTAAATGGAAATCACAAGTATGAGGTTTGACCCCCGGGTTTGACCTGGGCACGACTTGCATTAATTACCACAGGTTACTCTTTCATTACCTTTTAATCACCTAAAAATAGCTAATTAAAGCTTGGTAACGTCTCAGTTAGTTAATCTGCACAACAGTCAAAGTCGCAATCTTTGTTTATATGAGATCAATATATTTCGGGCATGCGTGGTGCGACGATTACCACCCCTTAAAATAGTGAATAAAATCGTTTAGAATCTATGCATATTAATTAGAAATTTGCATAATATTTTTAACTAAGCTCCATGGTGAGACTTGTGGTCTCCGGGAATAAGTTTGATCGAAGCAAAGCAGAGCTATGGAAAAGCGAATTGATATATCACAGGAAGACTGTTCGCCCGGACTGTTAGTTTTAAGTTATTATATATAGCGTTGAATTACATGTGTATGTTGCACACATGACTGAAACTTACATAAAAACCAACCGTGCAGCTCAACCCGGAAGTCGGTCTTTGGTGCAAAAACCGCAGCGGGCAAAGGTCATATTCTGCACATGCGCGTAGTCGTTTCCAGTTAACCAAAATGGCCGAACGCGTGGCGGTAAATTTGGGTAAGTAGAAAAGTTGAATTGCAGTCGCGTTCGATAAACATTTCTCTTTTTGGAAGAGAAATTGCAATCAAGGGTTTTTCATTATTCGTGGCGTAGGTTATTTTCTTTATTTTTCTACACCCATTATCAGAAAATAACTTAAGGATGGTGGAACTCATAATACCGAGTAAATATAGTTCTGTTTCCGTTGTCAACACTGACTTTGGCGTCTATCGCAAGTACCACAGTTGTTAGCTGAAGTCATACTCATATACCATTTACAATGACCAATAAATCGGCAGTAAATATAGCTACCATCGATCGATTGTTACATTGATTATATTTATTTAGGTATTGTGCTAGTGTCAGTCGTGTTTTCGTCGAAAGGTTCTGCAGATACGGCATCTTTTGCATTATTGCCATTGAGTATCTCGCTGAACCATCAAGCCGTATAGGAATCAAAAACGGACTTGTTGACTGGTTTTCTACAATCCAGTTAAGCGCAGCTTGGTGCTGATCTCAATTATTTTAGCTAATTCGCCATTGTTACAGGTTGCACCGACTAGCGATGAAACGTTTCAGTAACATCAACCATGGATGTTCTTAGTACATCCATGCATCAACTGACGTATATTATGGTTGAAATCGATATCTGTGTTTGGTTGTGTCGTCATAGATCATCCAGAATATAGTTAAATCTGCAGATCAAAACAATATCACTCTAAGGTAGACGCCTAGTCATAATTTTTGACAAAATTAGTCATAAATCGCATAACAATGTTCATTAGTTTATTAAGTACAATCATGAAGCTAATGTCCCATGGTACAATGAAATAGCATTATTTTTTGTGTTACAGTTATGCTTTTTGAGAAACGTGTCCTAATATTTCTTAAAAATTGCTATTTTTTGAACAATTCAATAGAACACAATCTTAAAGCACTTTTTAAAACCCAGATTTTTTAAATAATTCAGAACAACAAAAAGTTACTCCATCATCATCGTTTATCAGTGATTTATTTATGATTTTTTTAGCCTATATCACCAGTCTAGATTTTGAGATATTGCATAATATCTCTGCCATAGTGTCAAAATAACGACTTTCCACTATCAATTTCTCGAAAAAAAGGCTGGTGATCCCCAACTTTTTTGGGTAAATATCCTTATATTGCCTTGGAGTACAATTTATTGCAAAAAGAATAAATTCTGTGTTTTTTTAATTGATGAGTTGGCTTCTACTTTAAGTGGTGTTTACATCAAGTTAATAGTAAATGCCTATACAGGGTCAGTATATATAATCATGGTTTATTAGTCCCCGTTCGGACGCAGTCCGAAAACGAGGACTTATGTTTTGCCCTGTGTGCGTCCGTCCATCCGTCCGTGCGTCCGTTCGTCCGTGATCACCTGTATCTCGAACATGCATGGACCGATTAAGTTCAAACTTCACTCATACATCACACATTATATAGGACATATGCACATGCATTTTTTTCATGATCCGATTAACGATAGCCGAATAGCGGCCATTTTAAGGCCGAAAATGCATTGAAATCGCACATTTTCACCATTCCGGACCCGTATCTCAGTTATGCATGGATGGATTTTGTTCAAATTTGGTACATACATTAAACATAATAGGACCTTGATGCACGTCTTTTTTTTTTTCGGATCAAGTTCGAAATGGCCGACTGGCGGCCATTTTGTTAAAGAATTCAGTTCTGGATCCGTATCCAAGACATGTCTGGATTGATCAAGTTCAAACTTCACACACACATGGTACATCATGTCACAAATAGATATGTGCATTTGTTTCATGATCTGCTTAACAATAGCGGAATGATGGCCATTTTAAGGCCGAAAATGCATCAAAATCACGTATTTTCACAATTCCAGAACCGGATCTCAGTCATGCATGGATGGATTTTGTTCAGGTTTAGCACAATGTGTTGTACATACGCAGGTGCATTTCGGTCATGATCTGCTTTGAATGTATATGTCACTCAAATATGAACGGAACGGGGACGTGTCATTGACAATGACTTGTTTTAAAAATATTATACCAATAATTATGTCAACTTTTCGGCAAAGAGTCTCAACTATTTATTTGTTTTTCAGCTTCCAGTCTCTGGAAAAATTACAAAGACCTGAGAAGCACTGTAGAAGCAGCCATTGAACACAAGCAGTTAGAAGCGTTTCATGATTTAGAAGTCTCTTTGAAGAAATACAAACCAGACTTTATATCTCTCCTCAAAAATCCAGTAAGTATTTGGACTCTCAGTAACAGAATTGGCTTTTTTTCAAAACACATCCAGGATAACAAAATATATCCTACCTATTTTTTGCATCCTACATCACCAGCCAGCAATTTGAGATTGAGATATCGCATAATATCTCCACTTTTTATACATTTTTGTACCAATGATAAAAAGATTTTTAGACTGGCAAAATGCCTGTTATTCACTAATATTGTGGGGGTGAGAATAGGATTTCACACTTATCTCAACCCTACTGAGCGAAAAGTTCAAGGGCGCATAAGACAAGAGACTGTCAATCAAAGGAACAGGAAACAAATAAACTCCTTTTATTACTCGTCACTGGAAAGGGTTACATGTACTCGCTCTCTAAAACAAGTATTCAGGCCTTTTATAGCATTGGTAGGATCAGCCACCATAACAAATTTTATCGGGCTTGGTGCTGATTGGTTCATAATAGAATAGCCTTGATATGGCATCTGCTATCAGTATTTGTGCTAGTTCTCCTAGAGTTAAACATGTAATAAAGACGATTAAATTCACTAAACTCAATTACAATATATGAAATTCAAGAAAGCACTGAATCAGAATTGAATATTATTAAATCAATATTACAAACAAATATCACAGAAATAATTAGGGAAATAATAGCGGATTATTCTCCCTCTCATCCACAAATATGCTTGACTAGATGATGTTTATTATCATGGGACTTTGAAAAATCTATAAATAATAGACTAGTGAATCGGTTTGGATAGCTTTGGATGGGCCTTATGTATGAGTCAGTCTGCACATGTGAGTTCCCATGGCAGCGTACTGTAGTCATAGAGACAGCCAATCAGTGGTGACACAGAATTATGTGCCATCTACGTATTTACATAGAGATCACCAGGCCATTCTTGAGTGCACTGGGAATGGCAGTCTGAATGGCTGAATTTCATTTGCTTTGTGGACACCGACTTTTTTTGAGCTCAACATCCTAATAATAGCTGGAAGTAAAATTTATTGTAATTCACTTATGGGTAGGCTTCTACCTTAGTTGTGGTTAGATTATAATGTATTGAAACTGTTTGAAGATCTTTCTAAAGACTGTTTCAGCACGTACATATAAGTATGTATAATTATGGTTCTGTTTTATTTTAACAGGCCAAAAATGCACAACATTGCGATCAGATTCGGAAAGGTCCAACTGAAGGTATCACCATGGAAGGACAAAATGCACCATTTATTATCCCTGCCAGTCTTGTGGATGAAACTCTTGTATTTAGTAATTTATTTGATATCAATGAATTCACAGCATTGGAGTTCTTATTAACAGGTCAGTTCACCAATCACTGAAGGTGTTGTTTTGTTTTTTTCCAAGATTATGATTGCAAGTTCTGGAGTTCAAATCTGACCCAGGCTTGGTTGAGTATTGCTCTGCTATAATATAAATATAATTGCAAGATATGCCATAAGTCTGCGGTTTCTTTAAAAAAAGGCATTATTACCGTTTCAAGGTTTGAACTTTGAAGCTATGGAGACACCTATTTTCAAAGCATAATTGGTAAAATTGTCTTGTATAGGAAAAGTATTTATAAATCTGTATTTATCGACGGGAACTAAGGTCAGGAACTCATAGAGCATTAATTGTCTTTGATGCCTCTGTTTCATCTATTCCGATTTGATATATTTTCACTCAATTTGATTAAATGTGGTGTCGGCAGAAGGTGAATCACTTCTAACTTAAACTGATCTATGCAAATCGCATCAGACAGCTCTCTCCAACCAATTGAAGCAAAATTTACTGTAGGTATTAAATATTTCATGCCATATTCAGTTTACCTATAAAAAATTGATAATTTTTGAAAAAATCATGCCGTTTATTTGCCAAAATCAATTCCAACAGATCGTCCAACAGATACTTTTCATCAAGAGTTTGTGTATGATCCAACACATTCGTCAGTAGAAATAATTATGATGATTTTGTCTTAGACTGTGTCCCAACAGACTCTAATATTTTTAACCTTGTAATTTTGGGTGGTACATAATTAATATTGAAATAAAATGTGCATATTTTTCTGACCATTTCTGTTTCTTCATTGTAAAATTCAATGACGATGCAACTAATTTCGTAATTTGATTTTCTCTCAAAGATGTACTATTTCCCTTCAATCTGTCACACGGTGAATTAAAATTGTCAGTTGCATTTTTTTCCGAGAAGGTGCTCGGGTAAGCACCCACCCCTAAAAAAAAATCATGATAACGCGGTTGAGTACAGTAGTTACGGTCAATGGTTGGCTTGCAAGCGCACAAGACTCAGGAGAAAGAGGATTCAACAAATTCTAAACAGTATGCTACAAAATCAATATTTTATTTTTAAATAAATTATACCCCAGTTTGGTCTTCAGTACTTCATATCTAATTAATATTAAATAAAAAATGCTTATTTTCATCCATCTTGTGGATCTTTAAAATCCTTGTCTTATATAGGTGAGCAGCAACAGTCTCAGTTTCCTGGATTGCCACGTGGACTTGTTGCAGTTCTACTTTACTACGACACAAAAAACAGCTTGGTGCACTCATTACGAACTCTAATCCAAGCTCGTGAGGGCAAAACATGGACGCTGGGTCTGCCGGAGGATCTTATGATCATGGTAACCAAGTTTACGGATCAATTGATTGAAGAAGGGCTCTTAAATAAAGTCCTAGGTTTGTTGCAAAGTTTCGATGAAACAAAAGAAGTTGACAAACTGCAGAGAGAGAGAGCTCTTGGAAACTCAAAACACCGAAAACAGGTTAGTAGTTACTTGTATATGATATTTAATGCAAATTAATAGGATACAAATTATTTTTTTTAAGGATTTTTGGAACATGGCAAATTAATAGGATACAAATAATAATTTGCCCCAGAAAGAAAATAAGTGGGCGAATTAATAGAGACTGTCAGTTAATACAGTTTTTACGGTACTCTAAAGCACTTTTATTTCATGAAAAATTTTTTTATGAATTTTTAGAGTTACCGTAAAAAAATTGTAGAATTTGGTAGAAGTTTCATTGAGTGTCAATGACTTTTGTGAAAATTTTTTTTTATGAATGACATAGATTGTAAAATTGTAAAAATAAAATTAGGTTGTTTACAGTAAGTATTTACAGCGTAGTTGTGGCCGTACTCTCCTTTGCAGGTGTTTGACTTGATAAAAGAGATCCGTACAGGTTTATCAGACTGTCTATTCTGCATGGCATGCCAATCAAGACTAAATAATACTGACACAGTACAACTAGTGAATTATTTTGAGAAATGCTCTCCATTGAAGTCTGATGGTTGTATCGATGATGTGCATCTAGGTTTGGTCATGACTTTTATGTACGCCATGGATGTCAGCATATTGGAACAGGCAATAGAAGATAAAGAAGGTAACAACTTTCATTGCTCTCAACCAATAAGAAACATGTCATTTGCATGTGATTAGCATAATTTTGAATAATTTAATTATTGTAAGTATCTCTATATTGTGAACAGTGCTGTATTACAACAGATCCTAGACAGCGATGGCATATTTGTTAATTTCCATTTTATTAGCATAAATTTGAATATGTTAATTAGTGACAATTTCTATATTTCATATTTGCCTGTTTATTAGAGTAGGCCAAATACGATAAAAAAGGTATTGTTTTTCAATGCTCCCAACCAATTAGAAATATGGAATTTGCATATATTTCAATATGCTATTTTTTGAAGTAATACTTGTTTGAAGAGCTTGTTTGATACAAGTGGTGTTACCATAGTTTCAAGAGTGAGATGATAACAAAGCCTGTAATACCCATACTCATTTAAAGCGGGGGAGTTGTCACCTGCGCATGCGTCAGATGGCCATAGCGTGTCATTGTTTACCCATGAGCCTTTGCATTTTTAGTGTGTTATCGTCGCTTGGGACTCAATTATTACCACACATGCACAGGTGACGACCCTCTCGCTTTAAACTATGTTTTCATTGCAGTTTTTTGTCACTTTATGTCATAATAACATCTCATTTCTTTTTGTTCTTTTCCAGATATTGCTAATCAGTTGCCCATTTTAGCTGACAGTTCCTACGTACCCGATGTACACAATTTGTTATTTTCGGAGGATGAGTGGAGCACTCCAGGATTGAAGGCTGTTCTACAGTTCGTCTGGGGTGTGGCTTTACGAAACATTGCCCAACAACCAGGTTCACAAGGTCTGTCCCATTCTGTTATGGCGGATCACTAACTGTTAGCAAATACTTCATATCTGGAACTTGCACCCTCTGGTAAAAAATTACGTATATGGTTAAAGTCAATGTCGTTCAGATCGACATCTCTGTTTGATTGTGTAGTCATTCATCATCCAGAATATAGAAAAATCTTTGGAAATGTAATTTTCATTGATGGATAACTAAAGATCAAAACGATATCAACAATTTGAACTGTCTTTGTATTACCCATTCATGCTATAGCAGCACTTCGCCACTGGGAGGTGTGATTTATGTTTATTGTACTTGTATTCATTTTTTGTGTCAGTCCCATGATCCCATTGGTAGCGAAAAGTCATTTGTTGTCATCAATTCTAAAAGTAATCCAAATTCATCTTTCTCTCTTTAAAATTTTCTACCAAAGTTATGCAACATTTATCATAAGTATATATTCTATTTTTACTGCTGAGTGGATACCCATCCCCAGGAATCAAACAGACAATCTCTGGGCAAACATGCTTACCATTACACCAGATATTTATAAAACTTAATTGACAGATGTCATATTTCTAACTTGGAATGTCACAAGCCTGGCTAGTGGACGTGGACATGTATGTGTTCTATTTTGACTGCTTAGTAGCTACCTGATCTCAGGACACAAAACCATTACCCTTTTCACCACCAGACTTTCTCACCCAATTTTTCTGCACATCTTTCTTATATTCTCCAATATTTTCTGAAATAAACCTTAATTTTAGAGCCAACAGACATTTTAGTCAATTTTCAGTTTTCAATTGAAAAATTTGGCTTTTTTGTCCAAATCTTCTGAAGAAAGTGCAGACTATTTACAGGACTTTGTGATAAAAATAGGGACCATGGGGAAGAGGTTAACGATGCTTAGCATTAACACTACATACAAGATAATAAAACAAATTTGTTTCCTCAGACATTCAAGATTACATTGAAGAAGATGAAGCTGTCATTGATGTAGCTCTGTCGAGTGGGGTTTTCCAGTTCATGAAGAATTCAATAATAGCATCCAAGACATTCCACAATGAGGTACTCAAATTATTCAACCCTGTGTATAGTAGCATTTCTTTTGCCAATATTTGAGAGGAACTGTCATGAAATGTATGATAATAAATGTTATATAACAATGACTTGTTTATCTGGTGTGAAGTTTGTTAACTGTTTATTGTTGCTTATATTCTAATTTATTTTCTTCTTCAGGAATTTTATGTCAGATGTCTCCATGCATTAGTGACAGATTTTATTATTCAGATGCCATTGAAGGTATGTCAATCTTATCTCTTATCTCTTACCTTGTTACCCGGGGCTCCCCAAACTTGTTACCCATGGTTCTTCCAAACTTGTTAACCATGGTTCCCCAAACTTGTTATCCATGGTTCCTCCAAACTTGTTACCCATGGTTCCTCCAAACTTGTTACCCATGGTTCCCCAAACTTGTTACCCATGGTTCCCCAAACTTGTTACCCATGGTTCCTCCAAACTTGTTACCCAGGGTTTCCCCAAACTTGTTACCCATGGTTCCTCCAAACTTGTTACCCAGTGTCCTCCAAACTTGTTACCCAGTGTCCTCCAAACTTGTTACCCAGTGTCCTCCAAACTTGTGTCCCATGGTTCCCCAAACTTGTTACCCAGGGTTTCCCCAAACTTGTTACCCAGGGTTTCCCCAAACTTGTTACCCAGTGTCCTCCAAACTTGTTACCCAGTGTCCTCCAAACTTGTTACCCATGGTTCCCCAAACTTGTGACCCAGGGTTTCCCCAAACTTGTTACCCATGGTTCCTCCAAACTTGTTACCCAGGGTTCCTCCAAACTTGTTACCCATGGTTCTTCCAAACTTGTTAACCATGGTTCCCCAAACTTGTTATCCATGGTTCCTCCAAACTTGTTACCCATGGTTCCTCCAAACTTGTTACCCATGGTTCCCCAAACTTGTTACCCATGGTTCCCCAAACTTGTTACCCATGGTTCCTCCAAACTTGTTACCCATGGTTCCTCCAAACTTGTTACCCATGGTTCCCCAAACTTGTTACCAATAGTTCCTCCAAACTTGTTACCAATAGTTCCTCCAAACTTGTTGCCCATGGTTCCTCCAAACTTGTTACCCATGGTTCCTCCAAACTTGTTACCCATGGTTCCCCAAACTTGTTACCCATGGTTCCTCCAAACTTGTTACCCATGGTTCCTCCAAACTTGTTACCCATGGTTCCCCAAACTTGTTACCCATGGTTCCCCAAACTTGTTACCAAT